ATGTTCTAAACGATCGACACTCAAAAACGGGAAATTGATGTTTTATATTTGCTGGTTTTACGTTGAGCTCCGAATCACAATATGGTCGACTGCAAGATGTTAAATCACAGGTGTGTGTGTGTGTGTGTGTGTGTGGATGTTTTGTACATCAAAAGTTCCATAAAACATTTTCAAAACAAGAACACATCTGAAAACCTGTGAACAAGTGAGTGTTTTAAAGTCTGCTGTTCTCTGTGTGTTTGAAGTCCTGTTTCATCTAACTCCTCCTCCTCTGAAGAAGAAGAGAAAGAAGAACAAGAAGAAGGAGAAGCAGAAGAAGAGGAAGAAGCAGAAGAAGACTAAACATAAATGCGTCAGAGTTCATTTTTAGGTCTCACATGATGATGTCATTATAAAAGAGGTATTTTAATAATTTAACAGATTGATTTTCCTGTTTAATCTTGTTTTTATTCTCTAATTAAAGTCACCAAAGATAAGCAGTGAATCATCTCATATCTGTGACATCTGCTTTCTTGTAATTTACAAATTAATGATGTCATTTTGGCTCAATGTTTGATTTAATGATGTGATGTCTCATAATCTGAAGATATGAAGCCGGCGTTTTAATCAAGTGTTGCCAGAACAACATAACTTAATTATCTCCTAAGTTTTATTGTGAAACATCGCGTCAATGTACTGAGCACACACAATGTTTTTAATTGTCTCTTTTTATATCCTACTTTTCAGTATCGTCTCTGTCTCTTTACAGCTACAACTGTTTTGCTGTTGCTCCAATAATAACAAAAATAAGAAAGTGATTTATGTTCCTAGTGTCAAAAGTAAATCCTCTTTCACTGTAATGAAGATGAGGATCGATCAGATGTAAGCGGCACAGAAAGCTCTTTATTATTTCAGGAACATGGCGGCCGAGGAGCTGCTTTGTTACGTATTTAAAGGAACAGTGTGAAACATTTAGGGGGCTCTATTGGCAGGAATTGATTATCATATTAATAACTATGTGTCCTTTAGTGTTTGATCACCTGAAACTAAGAATCGTCGTGTCCTTGTGACCTTAGAATGAGCCGTTTGTATCTACAAACGGAGACGGCAGCCATGTTGCTACGGTAGCCCAGAACGGACAAAACTAACCCGTTCATGCTTCCTGACCGCAGTCTGAAAACACCGGAAACTAAACACGGTAAACCTCTGCTGGGTCTGGAGGAGCTGCAGCGCTTACTTCTGCACAAACCGTGACTTAAAACTATACATTCACTTGAAATCGTCACGGCTGAACTATGCCAACGCATTTTTAATGTTGTATTATTTTAATGGCTATTGATTATGAAGGTGTTTAGTTTAAAACACGAGAAGGTTTCAAACTTTCGTTTCCATGTAGAAATGCTTTGCATTACAGAGGCTTACAACTCTGTGTGTGTGTGTGTGTGTGTGTGTGTAAGGCGCTGCATGCGTGTGTGCGTGTGTAAGGTGCTGCATGCGTGTGTGTGTGTGTGTGTGTAAGGTGCTGCAATGCGTGTGTGCGTGTGTAAGGTGCTGCATGCGTGTGTGTGTGTGTGTGTAAGGTGCTGCATGCGTGTGTGTGTGTGTGTGTAAGGTGCTGCATGCGTGTGTGCGTGTGTAAGGTGCTGCATGCGTGTGTGTGTGCGTGTGTAAGGTGCTGCATGCGTGTGTGTGTGTGTGTAAGGTGCTGAATGCGTGTGTGTGTGTAAGGTGCTGCATGCGTGTGTGTGTGTGTAAGGCGCTGCGTGTGCGTGTGCGTGTAAGGCGCTGCGTGTGTGTTTGTAAGGCGCTGTGTGTGTGTGTGTGTGTAAGGCGCTGTGTGTGTGTGTGTAAGGCGCTGCATGCGTGTGTTTGTGTGTGTGGATTAGTTCTCTCTCTGACAGCAGCGAAACAAAGAAGCACAGATAATGTCACACTGTGTCCTCCTATCTCCTCCTCCCCCCTTTCTCCTTCCCTATCTCCCCTTTTTCCCGTCACCTTCCTCTCCTCTCCCGACTCCCTCCTCACTTATCCGTTTCCTTCCTAATCCTCCTTTCTTCTCTTCTCTCTCGCAGGCCGATTTCAATATGAATGAAAGTTGAGCTGATTTTCCTCGAGGCGAAGCACACGCTTACAAACACACACACACACATTCTCACACACACACATGCAGCGCCTTACACACACACACACACACACACACACACACAAGCTAAATATTCATTTGCATTTTTTAGTCTCTGCAAACTGAATTAATTAAATTTCTGTTCGACTTCGTTCACACTGAGACGCCAAAACTGGGCTCACTATATATGTGTGTGTGTGTGTGTGTGTTGCAGTTTGAATTGAACATAGGTGGGGGGTCAGATTGAGCGTTCAGGGCCTGAATATGAGCTAATGTAATGAGAGCATCCTCTGCTTTCGTTTCTGTCCAACAACATTGTGCGTATTGTGCCATTTCACCATGGCAACAGCGACTCCTGCGCTCTGATTGGACTCTGAGGATTTTGCATAGTTTAAGATTTCTGATTCCATGTCAGACCATTTCCATAACTTCGTGAGAGAAGCAGTGGAGACAATGAAGGATGGATTTTACTAACGACATTCCCATCAGCCTCAGCTGCTCTTTGTGTTCAGTGCTAATTAGCTAACGTTAGCATTTAATCACGTTAGACTGAAGCTTTGTTTATAATCACGTTTGGCATCGTGTAGCTACGAGAACGCATGGAGGCCTTAATGCTCAACGTGATGTTTGTTGCATTGTTCTTAACAAACAAAATTAACCGTGAAGAATCAAAAGGACGATGAGTTTAACCGGCAAAACGCCAGAAAATGAATATCCACAATGCTGAGGAGGGATTGTAATAATCTGTAAACTCATCTCATATTCATGAACTACTTTATTGTCTTTATAAAAGATCTGTAAAGACAGAAGTCAAGTATTAACTGTATTAATAATAAACAAATGTTAAAATGTTTCGTCTGCCGCGACCACTCGCTACGTTAGCCTGAATTTAATTAAAATAATACAGGATATCACACGTTAAACCTGTTCTGCATGACCATTTATGTCAAAATATGTTGTCAACAATATAGGAAATGACACCGTGAGGATTTAAAAGGAGGGAAACGTGCTCCGACTCCAAAAACAAACAAACAAACGAAACACCAACATCTGTATTCCCCCAAAACATGGTGCTCCGCGGTAACGCGTCTCTGACAGCTGGATGGACTAGCGGCGAGGGGCGGGGCTTAGCAAAGGGTCGATTGTGACGGACAGGAGCAGGTGATCTGCATTTGATTGAAGGAGTTTATAAAAGCTGCTCTAAAATGTTTCAAATAAACTTTGTTAAAGTAATAAAATAGTATAAAACATAAATATACAATAAAAAATCTAAAATAAGTACAGTTTTAATACTGCTCAGTAATGTGATGTGAAACACTTATTCTGTATTATATATATATATATTATATATAATATCTAAATTATATCTATATTATATATTATATCTATATTATATATATTATATATATTAAGTGGTTCTGGTGTAACTGGTGAAGCTGTTACCATGGCAGCTGTGGATTTAACTTGTTATCAGGAAGTGAATTACAGTTTCCTCTGTGTGTGTGTGAGGGTGTGTGTGTGTGTGTGGTGTGTGAGTGTGTGAGAATGTGTGGCGTGTGAGTGTGTGAGTGTGTGGTGTGTGAGTGTGTGTTATCTAAAATAGGATTCCTCTGAACAGACATTTAGAATAACCTACACCAATCCGTCTTTCCTTTTATTCTTCCCTCCTCATCGGTGTCCTTCCTCCTTTTCTTTATCGCTACCTTCCTCTTCCTCTTATTTCTACACCTCCACACGCTGCTGCTCCTCCTGGTTATAAACTCACCATTTTGCCAGAAAACGACAGATTCAATTTGGTTTGTCTCTTTCTCGTTCATTAAACAACAAACTACTCCCGCTCTCTCTCTCTCTATCTTTAGCTCATTTCTCTCTGTCACATTCTTTCCGAGTCACTCACTCTCTCTCTCACACACACACACACACACACACACTATCCAGGGAGTGTGATTTCCCATGATGCCGTTGGGAAAAGAGTGGAGTCATTGAAGAGTAAGGGCCTGACAATTTGACAAATTGAATCTCTTGAAATATTCACAAATTCAACACATTTTTTGTGTGTTTGTGTGTCAGCAAGAAAACAACGGCAATAGAAAGTCGATCAGGATCCTCTTTCGTGATCGACACACAAATTAAACGCATCCGTGCAACTGGTAGTCAGAGCTGGAGACGAATATTAAATATTTAGACAGCAAACACAAACACAGGACGTCCAACCATGAGGCCGCACGTCCCGGAGGGATGTGAAGTGAAGCGTTCGTCACGGTTTCCCTAAAAGTAACTCAGTGGTTTTGTTGCCTAAACTTAACTCTACATAGTCATTTCAAGCGCAACCATGACGTTCTTCTGAAAATTAATTGAGTGGTTTCGTTGCCTGAACCTTACTGTTTCTTTGAGAAAGATTGTCCTGAAAAAGAAGTCGTGCCGAGCGACACGAACCCCCCCCCCCCCCCACAATTCATGCATTGCATTTTGTGACTATTTCACAAACAGCCCTGAGTCTGTGTTTGTGTTGCTGTGTTTGATACTAAACGAGCAGGAGAACCATTCTGGATCGGTGTTCATCTTCTGAGGCTCTTGTTGTGCAGAAGATTGCTGCAAATGTGGTTTAAAATGAAAATGATTGGCATGAATGGCAACAAAGTTCTCCATCTACATAAATTAGGAACTTGCAAAGATAAATGGGGACACAATTACAAGAAGGAAAAAACCCATAAATAAAATTGTCTGAGAGTACGACAATAAAGCTTTTTTAAATGATGTCATTACAAGTCTTTATATCATTTAGTAGTCATGTGATTTCCGTTTCGTATGAATCTTCGGTCACAAACATTTGTTTGGCTTCTCATTACTTTTCCCTTCATTAGGTACAAAGTGGTGGATTGAAAGAGACCGCTTCACACACAAGGTTAACCATTTTAATATCGTCCAACCCAAAAACACAGGGAAACCACAGCGGTGCAAACAGGAAGTAGCATTAAACCCGTCTCTGACACTTCCTGTTTCCGTCCAAGTCAACATCATCATCATCATCATCATTATGATTATAATCATCATGAACACCATCTTCATCAACATCTTTAACGTCACATTTTAATTTTTAATATCGTATTTGTATGTTTTACAGTGTTTATTTTACATGTGTGCTTTACATCTGTAAACCAAGTTTCCCTGACAGGACAATAAAGGTTTGAAATGCACTGGATCATTAGCATAATAATACTAATGCTAATTAGCATTGTCACATCATCAACAATTAGCATCACTGACTCGACCGTCATCAGATCCATCATCACCCTGATCATAATCATAATAATTTCAATTATAATTGTAATCATCTTAACTGGCACAGCAGTCATTATCGTCACCATCATCATCTTCATCACACACACACACACACCACTGGACACACAGTGTATAGAAGCAGGCAGGCCTATTAATTCATATATGGCTCAATTATTAACACCAAAAGCCGGATCTACCAAAAGAGGAATAACTTCACAAAGTCTGTTCAACAGAACGGAGGTTCAACGCACCAGACTTCATCATGATTTTATTCATTTTAAGTATTTTTCTAAATTCTTAAAAGTCACGTCTCCAAAGGTTTTGCTTTACTTTGGAGTTGACCCCACAGGTTTGTTCCTCCGGGGCTTTTTGTGTTCATTATTTCCAAGACTCTCGAGTCTGTCGGTATCATTTAAAACTTAAAGCAGTCCAAAATCCATCACGCTGTAAAACCAGACTTGTAGTATCCGTAGCACTGCTCTTCTGCCATCATTCCCTCAAATCGGTCAAACTGTGGAGTTATCAGTCAGTATGGCTGTGAAGTCCGTCGCATCTTAGAATCTATCGCACTGCAGACGTCGAGCTGTTTCTATCCGTAGAATCCTTTTCATAGAATGATGTTCTCCACTGAAGAATCCATCACACTAAAATTCAAAGCCTTGAAAAGTCCAAATTTCATGCTGCCCCTTGCTGACTCTTTCATGTAACACTGTTAGAATCCACCATGCTGCAGAGTCCGTCCTCTTTAAAGATCTCCTCACTAAGTTTGAATCATCAGCTTCATTTAAAAACACCACATCATCTGCATATAAAGACACTCGGCATAAACAGCAATTGTCTCGTCACCACTTTGAATCATTCTGGGGGACAAAAAAAAAAGATTGCTTGAAAGCTAAAAATAAATAAATGCTAGTCTTTGTTGTCACTTAAGTTTCTGTGTAGCAGCTGAGAAAGATGTGCTTCATCAGACAACTTTATGGTTTTTGTGCTTTATGAAACCAACGTTCTAATCTCCAAAAGGTTGTCATAGGAGCGGTCAGTGTTACGTATAGACCCCGAACTCCTTGCGAGAAACATTCTTTGCACTTTCTCATCTATCTGTCAGTTTCTTTATTCAGTCAGTCAATCTTGGGAGTTACCGTTTTTCATGGCCTTTAAATAACGAGAAAATTCGTTGGCTGACAGATTTCAGGTGGGTTGAGTCGGGGAAAACTATTTTAATGTGAGCTGTGTTAAAATCGTTCCCTATTTTTATCTTACTTTCTGCCATTTCACTATTAAAATTAGTGCTTTTTAGTGTCATAATTTAAGTTGCTACAAGGAGAACTGGGTAGAGAATAGTCTCAATGAAATATTGTTTCTTGCGACTGTAATGCTCTTTGTATGTTTTCTTTCAAACATGAATTATTATTTTGTATTTCAATAATCTTCTGGTCTTTCCACGTCACATCAGGTTTGAACATGTTTAATTCATCGGTCAGTTTTGGTTGAGGATTGTCAAAAATGTATCTTCCAAGTTTGTCGATCCAACTAAATTTCTAAATATTGACAGATTGAGTCTCCATTGCACCTTTGCTACATCCCATCATGGCTTGTATGTGAGAACTAGCCTTGATAGTTTGTCTTCACTTTCAGCTTTTTTAAACGGTTTTCCAGCTCTGGTGTTTCAAACACTAAACAGACCACAGCATCACTACTGGCTCCACATGCAGCGTTCTCTGTGGTTTAGAGCAAAGTTTTCAAGTTATTACAAGCTTTTCATATTCGAGGTACACTGCTGCAGTTTTTAATCCTGAAAAAAAACAAAGTTGCTTTTTAAATTCAAGCTGAAGCAGTTTGAATGCTGTGGTACGTTAATGAGTCCTCTGAGTGCTGTGATCAGAGGACACCAAGTCCATGTTGGGTTAATTACATGTTCAATGATCGACATGCAGCTGACTGATGGTTAATCTGCCTTTTAATGTCGGCTGATTTAATGTAACAAACACAGGAAGGTCCGATTCAAACTGTTGTGGGTCTCTGGTTAGTGAGGGTATTGGACTGGAGCCACGAGGCTCTAACTGATGGCATTTAACTCATTTAAGGTCGCATCACAACTTCCAACCTGTATGTTAAGAAGGTTCCACAGAATTCTAATGATGTATTGATCTGTTAAGTTTGTAGTTTACACAAAACTGCCTGAAAACAAAGACCATACTAACGCATGTAATATTTTATTTTGCCAATTTCAAAATATTTCTGATTGTATTTGTGGGCTTAATGTATTAGAAACTAAATGTTTATCAGATAAACACGGGTGTGGGAATGTGTGTGGGCATTTAACAGGATTTATCTTTCTGTTGTACCGAAATGTTTGTAATGTTGAAGTTTGATAAGTTGTTGGTCAGATCATCCGTTGTTGGCTGCTGTTGCTCATCAGACAGTAGATTCTTCTCTCTGTGTCCATCGTCAACACGTTCTCACCCCAAACTCATCAAACACCGATGGATGGTCAATGCCCTCGCACCGAGCTTTCATCTAACGTCAATGTAAACTCATCTGCGTCATTATTAGACTTCTGTATAAAGAGCGAGAAAGTCCGCTTCGATGGGTTTAAATGAACGACAGGACTTTAACCCAGGAGGACCTCTGTTCATGTTTTGTCACGTAACTTGTGTACTTAGGTAATGCCAGTTACACAACAAACATCATTGTTTTATGTAACAATCATACTTATATTCAACCAAACCACAATCTTTTCCCAAGCCCAACCCTAAGTAGTCTTGTTGCGCCAGTAAACCTAAAACTAAGTAATTCTACCGTGGAGACTTTGTGCAATGAGGGGGAAAACTGGGACGCCGTCCCTGATAAGTCCAAAGCTGACACTAGAGGGGTACCTGGAGGGTCTTAGTTTGGGCCACAGACCAAGCGTTGAGTTGGCGGTGTGAATGTCTTGGGGGCAATTTAGTCATTGCGGAGTTTTTAGGCGAGTTGCTAGCTAACAATTACTGAACCAGTGACTGCTAGCTAGCTAGCAGTTTTGAAAAAAATAAACAATACATCTGAAATAAAGAGTTTGTAAACAATTTTCTTTAAAAGAAAAACCAGCAGAGAAACCAGCTGAATAACCAGTCAAGTCAATCTCCTTCATTCTCTTGTTTTCTTTCATTCTAATTAACTGCATCTGTAAGCTAGCAGTGCGTTAGCAGCCAGTCTGCAGTTGCGTCACTCTAGCTAGCTGGTGTAGCGTTAGCCGAGGACGGAGCTCAGAGGTTTGCGAAGCCACTGGAAGAACTGCCGCCGGTGAAGGCGGTGCCAGCGTACGTTGCCTTCGACGATCTCCAGCGCCCGCGGCATAGCAGGCCCCGCCCCCAAACCGCTGGACTGGATGAACTCCTTCAACTGAGGAGAGAAAGGATGGGAAAAAGAGAGACAGATGGGGAAATATTTGGGGGAAGGAGTAAGTAGGAATGGTAAGACAAGATATGAGGAGGGAAGGAAGGAAGGAAGGAAGGAAAAGTAGAGGATAGAAAAGTTATTGGAATATTGGAAACCCAGACAGACATTTTGCAGCACCGAAGAGGCTAAAGAGGTAAATATACCCACAATGTCATAGGGTTTGAACATCGACAACATACTGATGATTTAAGGACCCTACAAACTATATGACTCAGATTGCTGTCGTGATCATGGTTTTTTTGAGATTGTCATCATTTGTAGATTACACAAGTGACATTTTGCAAGTCTGTCTGGTCTCCAAACTTCGTCAAAACAAACGTCTCAGAAACGATTATAATGAAATGAAATAATTGATTGCCATGAAATAAACCTATTGCAAGTTTCTGTGTGAAGTAACAAAGCACAACTACTTTTCTGGAACCAACTCCCGCACCAACCTCCCACTCCTTAACCATCAACAAGACAAACATCCGTATAGGTTGTCTGTGCAAACCGCTTATTACGACACATATCAATGTTTGTTGTTAGAAGTCATGTGACTGTAAAGAGCAACAGAGTCCACGTAGGGAGGAGGTCAACAGAGTCTGGGTCAAAGAAACACTCCGACTTTCACCCAAGATGACAAGAGATGATATTAATATGTACGTTTCTAGATGTTTTATTACATCTTTTAATGGCAGTTAAACAGCAACTTTCCAGCCAGAAAATGTGAGCTATGAAAGCTAAACTGTCTTTTGAAAAGGAGGCGAATAATTAGAAGAGAAATTTAGTTTTAAAGGTTCATAACGAGAGGTAACATGTCCAGCATGAGAGGACCAGGAATCAAAGTGTAACTTTTAAAGGAGGGTAATTAAATGGAAAGTTTTACAGCATGAAGTGATGTATTAAAGAAAAAACGTTGAACCGTTGGAGGTTAGAGAACAAATGTGATTTTCAAAGTTAAGGACCGAAGAGGAAACTTGGTGTTCAGAGTTTGACAGATTCACTGGAGCGCAGGAGGAAATCCATCCCCTCAACTCCCTGTAATACAGCTCATATCGTTAGCTCCTCTGCTCTGCTTTACGTTCACTTTCCACTCTTCTATCTCTTCTCTTCCTTCTGCTACACGTTCACTTTCTGCTCTGTAACTTTGACCTTCCAGCTGTGACTCCCCCCAAGACACATTTTTTTTTAATTTGCTCTGTGGGTGGATTTACTTAAAAACACTTTCCAAAAATGGAAATATAAGGCTGATGATTATTTTCATTTCAGGCAGTCTTTGTATTGAGGGGTCTCGTTTTAATTTATGGAGATTCTTTCAGAGGCTTCACGGACACGATGAAGCTCACGCTGTTGTTACCATACCAACAGGAGAGATAGAGATCTCAAACTAAATGGTTTCATCTCAATCGAATACCACAAAGAGACTATTCTATATTCAGAAACACCCACAAACCCTTTCTGTCTGAAAATGTGAATATCAATCACCTCTCTGTAGTTTTCCACGTCCTACTTGTTCCTTCTGCTTTCACTTTATTTCTCCTTTTGTAAAAGCATTGTGGGAGTTTTCATTAAAGCCACGATATTAAATAAAACATGAAAAGATAAGTGACTCACAATAACATCATTGCTGCTGAATTCTCTTTGAATAACCAACAACAGACGTTGAACTCTCTGATGACTTTATGTTTCTCTGCAGAACGTTGATGATTCACCTGCAGCCTCTAAACACCACCACAGTGTGCAGAAGGTTCACACCCTTTCAGACCCCATTAAAGCATTAATAGCTACATTTCGGGGTCGTAAATGTCTTTTAAAAGCTTATTAATGTCCAGCAGCTTTCATTATTCAAAGTGCAAAAACAAATATGAATAGTGACGGCAAGAGACGATTTTCCAGCCAGCAAGAACTGCAGCAGGTGACGCACAGCGAGTCCGTCTTAATGTGTGTTTATGGACATAATTGGACCCACTTTGGACACATTTAATCCAGTGCTTTATGGAAATCGGGGGAGACGGGACCCCCGTCACACACTGGTATAGATACATCAATACCGACTGACCATCTGCTTCTTGGTCAGCTCTCTTAAGTCCTTTATAAAGACAGATGTGAACCTTCATGTCCAATCAAGTGTGTATACCACAGGATGGACCCCATGGATCGAGGTTATACCGACACTATTCTACTACTGCTACTATAACTATATAATAACATTATATTACCATTATTATTCTAATATATCCACCCCGGCTGTTATTAGTGGCAGTTTTCATTTTTCTTTATTATTTCTTTATTGTTGTTCTGACATGATTGGTGTTACTACTGATATTACTACTATTATATGGATATGTTGTGGTTTTATTAGTTTATTAGTGTCTCTCCCTCCGAGTTCCCATTAAAGGTTGTTTTTAGGGGGGGGGGGGGTCCAAGGACAGCCCTCTGAGGCAGATTTGTGATACTGGGCTAAACAAATAACATCTAATTGACTTTAAATTGAATAAAAACATCAAAAACTTTATCAAGACATTTGGGATTTCGCTCTTTTTTCTTTGTAATAAATTTAATGAAGAACTCCTGTTTTCTCTCTTCATGGGGTAAAGCCTGTAGATTGAAATCTTCTCTGAATGCTTCCCCTTATCTTTTAATTGGATCTGTGCAGGTCGTTAAGGTGAAGCACGTGGTCAGAAGGAGGAAACTGAACCTTTCACCTGTAAATCAGACCTCAACAACAAGCGAGTGTGTGTTTACCTCGTTGAGCTCTCGCTCGGTGTTCAGGAACTCCGTGACTCCGCCGATGAGCTTCGAGTTCATGAACAACGTTTCACCATAGCTGAAGAGAGACGGCGAGCGTTAGTATTACAATACACTTCCCTTCACAGTACAGCAAGTACGACGTGTACAAATACTCACCGAGCGTTGAGGATGTCCCACTTTTCTCTGAAGTACTTCCAGGCGAGGTTTCGGCCCTGCGAGTTTCTGCCCACGTGGATGATGACGTCGATCACGTCCTGCTCTGGGACCAGGTCTGAGGTCAGAGACAGGTTCAGTAGCCTGGGAGACACAGGGACACGGACGAGCTCAGTCATGGCTAAAGGTTTAAAGGTTGTTGTGTCATTAACTGTTTGTCTTTTCTTTAATATATATATATAAAACTGGAGATGCAATGGGGGAATTCTCTGTGTGCCATAACATGCTAGCATGCTAATATAAAGGTTTATTTTGGCTAGCATGGGAACCAATATAATGCTACATTTTTAAAGCATAAAACATAAGTCTGTATATCTTGTGTATGTTTCAATATACGAACAAACATAAATGTGGTTTTGTTGAATAACAGGATGAAACATTTGCTTTTTTGGCATGAATTTCAGTATTTCATAATCTGTGCAAAGTTAGCACGCTAACATGTTAACCCGAGAGTCTCGTTTACTTAAATTAGCAAAGTAAACTTCTCATTTATAGTAATACTGTAGCAGTGTAAAAGGTTAAAATACTAATGTAGTCTCATTTTAGCATGAATTTAGCATGCTAAAATTGTATTTTTACAAAATTGTATTTTTATATATATATATATATATATATATATATATATATATACTTAAATTAGCATAGTAAATATTCATGTTAATGTAAATTGTTTGAATGATAAAATTTCATAGAATGATAAAACCTGGATCTGCTGTACACTGTATACGTCTCTGGTAGAGACCTGTCAATCACCGTGTAGCCCCGCCCTAAAGCATCCCCTGCTTTATGGTCTGTTTGACTCTAAATGGACCATAATGTACTAAATGAACATCATGCTGTATTGAAGAAGACTTGAAACTAGAGATTGAGACCATAAACTCATGTTTACAATGTTTACTGAGGTAATAAATCAAGAGAGAAGTAGAGTCATTTTCTCATAGACTTCTATACAACCAGAGGAGTCGCCCCCTGGTGGACACTAGAGAGACTGCAGCTTTTAACACATGAAGGACTGGATTCACCTTTCAGAACCGGATTTTGCCGCCTGGCAAGTACTCAAATTGAAGTACTTATACTTCGTCTGATTTGAAGCAGAATGACCCTGGTAGACATTTTATAGTTTCTGTTGTGTTGTTTGTAACCACGATTTACTCCTCTGAAGTTACACGAGCTACAGTAATCCCACTACTCCCAGCTCCTCAGAGATTAAGGGGATTTACAGAAACCTGGGGAGAGTTTGGCTGCAGAATCCTGAAGTGTGAACACGTTTTCTAAAGACGTGAGACTGAGCGGGACAAAGAGACAGAAGAGAGTTTCACAATAAAACCGATGTTTACTCATCCAACATTGTGTTCAGAGTTTACCTTCCTCTTCACATTTCTTTGTATTGGTGTGTGTGTGTGTGTGTGTGTGTTGGAAGTTTGTAGCTGCTGTCTTTTCATTAAACCACCAAATCAATTTTCTCTCTCTCTTCCCACAATCCCTCTGTGCTGAAACCATTTCCTGTGTGACCAATCAGTGTTTCTGTGGTGTGTTTCTTTCTTTCGTGTGTGTGTGTGTGTGTGTGTGTGTGATAGCTGCTATCTGAACATGCAGTACTAACTCTCTGATTGCAGAACAGTTTACTGTGACTGGAAAATCAATACCACACACACACACACACACACACACACACACACACACTATATTTTTACTGCAACTTTCACTCAATTTTCTGTCTGTTCTAAAATAAAATAACAGACTTGAAACTTAAGTGAAAGTATGTTTTAAAGAGTTTATTTAGAGGAATTTCTCAACACATATAGGAAACTTAAATCTAACTCACTTTCATGCAATATGAAAACGGTTGCTCGCACTGATGAGATTTATCACCAAACTGAGGTTCCCCTGCAGCTCTACAGAGTGTTTTTGTTTTACAGCCTGCACACCTTTACTGTTTTGGTTCAGTCTCTCAGCGCTCATTAATCTCGTTTCCAGCAGTAACCACTAAACACGCTGTGATAAAGTCACTTTACACGACCTGAACATCTGACAGACACAGTTAGAGAATTTTGAAAAGACGGAAAAACTGACATGTGTTCCTGGACATTCATAGGAGAACAGGCAAAGTTAGGGGCAACTTTTCTTTCCTAAGATATCATACAAACCGTTCAGCAGTGTGTCGTTCGTACCTGTTGAGGAGGAAGGTGTTGTCCGAGCAGGTCAGAGCCTCCAGCAGGATCTTCTTCTCTGAGATGGCGTTGGTGGAGTGAAACTTCATCCAGATGAACTCCCACACGTCCTCGTCCATCAGACTCACCCCGGTGCAGTAAACTATGTCTCTGATGTTGGGAGGAATCCTGCAAAACACACAGCGCCTTCCCATCAGACTGACACAATCTCCGAATAAAGCAAACGTGTGTCACATTTTCGGGATGTCGATAAGTGTTGGATGTGGTAATAAAGCTAAGAAACCCTGATAAAACACGTCCACAGGATTAAGCAGGACGCTGGATGCTGAGTGAGACATTGTGATTCCATCAGGGAGCTCCATTAAAACATCCCTTTACTTCTCCGGTGGACTCGTAACAAAGCAGAGACACAATTAAAGACATTTTCGCACCAGCTGCGACTCCAAAACGTCTCAATAAGCCTAATTGTCATTCTTTGTGTTGGAACACTTTTGAAGTTTCAACACAGATACTTCTGTGTCTCAGTGTTTAAAGTCCAAATGCAACAGATGTATTAAGCAGACTGTCTGATAATAGATGTGTATTTTTAGGTACTGAGCAAAGACATAGGACCATGAAATCAGATGTGATCGTTCTCCGTTTCCTGACGCTGAAGAGCAAAACAAACAACTTGTTTTTCCAAAATCTGAGGTCCAAGGTTTTTAAGTTTTTTTTGGGACAACTAGAGTTAAAACATAACACATTGTGGGTTCAATAAGGTGTCCAGACATGAACTTTTCCCAAAACCATTCGGGCTAAATTAAATGATTGGACGGGCTTTTTGCAGTCTTGCAACATTTTGGGGGGTTCTCTAAAATCATAAGTATTTGTCACTTGCAATTGTTATTAAAATGTCTTTTAATTAAAAGCTCAGCAGTTTACGTTGTCCCGAGGGGGGACGGGACCCCCGATTGTCGTCGGCTATTTGACGCACTGAGCACATACTCATAGAACTGGAGTTATTACAGGTAACTACTGTTTCTGTTGTTGGGGGTTTTATACACCAAATGCACGCACACACACACACACACACTCACACTCACACACACACACACACACACACACACACACACACACACACACACAC